TTATTGTTTTGTTTGTTTGTTTATTGTTTGTTTGTTTTTTGTGTTTTTTTTGTGTTTTTTTTTTTTACATTCACTCCGGGGGTCCGTTCTTCGTACGTGGATTACTCAGTTAGCTGGATTTGGTTATTAACGATTTGACACGATCCAGGATTGTTTCAATCTTTAAAACTGATCCGAGAGTTGTTGTCATAGCAACACAACAGTAGCTCAAACCTGGATGGGAGCAGGTTCAATTCATATAAACAGGATTAGATCGAGTCAGTTCAAGCAAAGATAATACAGAAAGTATGTACCAAATTTTGATATTTTCTTACAGTAGTAGGTATATACCATTGGAAAAATAGTAAATGTTTTTTAACTATACATATATATATATATATATATATATATATATATATATATATATATATATATATAGTTAAAACACATTTATATATATTGTTACTAAGGTATAATTATTAATAAAATAAATAAAGTTATATATATTAATAAAAATTATGCAGTCTGCTCTCCGAAATAAAAGTACAAAGACTGCCATCTGGTGGTGCAAAGAGAAAACTTATTGATATGAACTTTTTAGATCGCTTTAGTAGACATGCAAACTATGTGAATTTTTAAAAACAAAGATACATTTATGCAGTCATAAACATGTTTTGACAGTTAATATGTGATTTGATGCTTCACAAAAGTTGCAGACGCCTTTACCAATATCAAAATGCTTTTGTAAGCATTCAGTTATTCTTTAAACCGATTAAAAAAAAAACGGCTACAATAATACTACTATGGCTACTATAATAAGGAAAATCCGCTTTAACTGTAAAACAAAATAAATTGATCTTGACACATGAAAGGGCCAAGCATGCAGTCCACAACAAGGTGTAGTTATTGCGTACCACATTTAACAAGCCATTTACTGTGATTTTTATGTAATTTAGCTCACATGGATAATTGAATATTAATCAGATGATGTCATTACGCTGCTGTGCCAATCGTTGCATTGCTAATCATGTTTTTGAAGATCGATAGATCTGTCCTTCACAACAGTTAGCGATCTCAGATCAGTTCATCCAGACATTTGAATCTGATTTACGAACTTTTTGAAGGACTGAATTAGCTAGAGATCAGTTATCAAGATTAAAAGATCCAGGATCTGCCAAATTATTTTAGATCATTTAAGCAAGGTACGGAGAACGGACCCCAGGTTTTCTCTTTTTTTTTTCAAACAAATCTCACATTATCATGACTAAAACTAAATCAAGTTTAAATTAAACAAGCTCAATTTTTTTCTTCAGTTTTGAAATTGGTATACTTATTTGTTGATCTTTTTTTTTGTCCTTATAATATGCAGTAATTTTTATGTTTTTTTGAATGTTTTTTTGTTTGTTCATAGTGTTTTTTGGACATTCAGAATGTTTTGTTTTATTTTATTGTGTGTCTTCTTTTGTCGTTGTTTGAATGTTTTGATTGTTTTTAATCAGTTTGCTTGTTCTGTTTTGACTATGTGTTTTTGTATGTTTATGTCTAATGTTCTTTTCATGTTTTAATTAAATGGTTTTTTTTGTTTGCTTGTTTTTGTTTTGTTTACTTTTTCAGTTCTGTTCACTTTTCTCTCTCTATTTTATTTAGAATTAATCACCTTATTATAACTAAAACTAAATCCAGATTAAATTAAACCATCTCTAATTGAAGGAGACCTCTAGGCATACATTTCTGTGTGAAGTTTGCATGTTCTCCCCATGTTCACGTGGGTTATTTCCAGGCGCTCGTGTTTCCCCCAAGTCCAAAGAGGTGCAATATAGGTGAATTGAATTAACTAAATTGACTTTAGTGTATGCGTATGAATGAGAGAGTAGGGATGTTTCCCAGCACTGGGTTGCAGCTGGAAGGGCATCCGCTGTGTAAAACATATGCTGGATAAGTTGGCGGTTCATTCTGCTGTGATGAACGCTGATGAATAAGGGACTAAGCCAAATGAAAATTATTGATAAATGGATGAATGTAAATGGTTTACTTTTTGTCTTATTAAGTTTGTCTTTTGTTTTGAATTTGGTATACTTTGTTGATCTTTTACTATCCTTATAACTTATAGTAAAAAAAAAAAATTCCTTTTTTTTATTTATTAATTTATTTTTTTGCATATTTGTTTTTTTATGTTTTTGTATATTTGGAATGTTTTTTTGTTGTTGTTTGTTGGTTTGTGTGTTTTGTTTTTGCACGTTTTGCTTGTTTTTGATTGTTCTGTTTTGTCTGCGTGTATGTGTTTTTGAACATTCAGAATGTGTTTTGTTTTTGTTTGTTCATTTTGTCTCTTGTATTTTTATGTTTTAATGTTTTTTATGTTTTAATTCAATATTTTTGTTTTGTTTACTTTTCAGTTTTTTTCTCTTATTTTAGGTATTATAACTAAAACTAAACACTAAATGAAAGAGACCTCTAGGACTACATTTCTGTTTCAGTCTGGTGTGTTTTGTACTCTCTCAATGTTTCATCATATCTATCTATCTATGTGTGTGTGTGTGTGTGTGTGTGTGTGTGTGTGTGTGTGTGTGTGTGTGTGTGTGTGTGTGTGTGTGTGTGTGTGTGTGTGTGTGTGTGTGTGTGTGTGTCTGTCTGTGTGTTTTCTTTTTCTTTTACAAATTCCATCAGGGAGCTGCTCTGTCAACAACCCAGAAAAGTTTTGGTTGAATAGCTATGGCATAAATAGTTGATGAGCTGTGATCTGTTTATTTTTTTTTTCATGACCTTATTTTACAACAGCTGAATCTTAAGAAGTGCGAGGGCACAAGACCATGAGGGCCCTGTAGTGACTGTGAGAGTCTGATTACCATGAATACCTGACAGATTGTGAGGACCTGATCACTGCTGAGAGGATTGAGTTCACTCAATGGAGCAATTACACATCCATGTGTGAGATCACAGTCAAAAAGCAAAAACATCACAACTGACCTGGTAGCCCTGTCAGAGATTTAGCATTTCTAGTTGCACCTGGAAATATATTTTTATTTAACTGAAGTGATTTCTAATTCTGGCGATGCGGTGGCACAGTAGGTTGTGCTGTAGCCTCACAGCAAGAAGGTTGTGGTCCATTCCGCTGTGGCGGCCACAGATTGATGAAGGGGAGCCAAAAAGAAAACGAATGAATGAATGATTTCTAATTCTTCACAACCATGTCCTAAATACAATTAAATCTAAATAAAATTCAAAAGAAGCTGTTAAAGGTGCACAGTGTGTCATTTTTGTGGTTTTTATTTTCATGTAATAGATTTTTAGGTATAGAGGTATAAGTTCCTTAAGTATAGAGGAAACAAAAAATGAGGTTTGTTGCTCAAACTGCTTATTTAAAATGAGCTGAAACAGCACAATGCTTGAAGTTTTTGGGACAACTTAATTGTTTTAATTCCTTCATGTTGACCAAACGCAAATGAATTGTGTGCATTATTTTTATAAAGGAATGAATTACTTTACTCTTAAATAATGTCCATGAAATGTACAGTATGTATGTGATTGATGTGTATCACTGTATGTGCATGTTTATAGTGGTATATGTACTCAGGTGTGTATATATGTAAATTTTTTGAGCATGGGTGTATTTATGTTTGTATTTATTTAGCTTTTGTTTTAATTTATATTAATTTCTGAATATTGCTGGAATTATGAATTATGTTTTAGGATGAATACAGTATCCATCCATCCATCCATCCATCCACGTATAATTTCTTCTATCCACTCATCTACCTTATCATGCAACCAATCATCCATCATCCATTCACATATCATTCCTTCTATCCAATCATCCATCTAATCATCCAACCATGTGTCATTCCTTCTATCCCATCATCCACTCATCCATCCAATCATTAATTCATCCTTCCATGTATCATTCCCTCCATCCACTCATCCACCTAATCATCCATACATCCATCCATCTATCCATCCATCCACGTATCATTCCTTCTATCCACTCATCCACCTAATCATCCATCCATACACCCATCCATGCATCATTCCTTCTATCCCTTCATCCATCCATCCATCCATCCATCCATCCATCAATCCATGTCATTCATTTTATCCACTCATCCACCTAATCATCCTTCCAATCATTCATCCAATCATCCATTCATCCATCCCTGTATCATTCCTTCCATCCACTCATCCACCTAATCATCCATCCATCCATGTATCATTTCTTCTATCCCCCCATCCATCCAATCATCCATCCATCCATCCATCCATGTATCATTCCTTCTATCCCATCATCCACTCATCCATCCAATCATTAATTCATCCTTCCATGTATCATTCCCTCCATCCACTCATCCACCTAATCATCCATACATCCATCCATCCATCCACGTATCATTCCTTCTATCCACTCATCCACCTAATCAACCATTCATTCATGCATGGTAAAAAAAAAAAAAGTGTAAATGCTACTAAATATTAAGTCAACACAATCTGTGAAGATCCACACTGTAAGTAACTTGTGTGATTTTGAACTTTCATGATTCTGGCTACATGAGTCTAAGTAATGCATTCTGTGTCCTGAAATATATTTATCTATTTATGGACACTGACTGAGACCAGATGTTCACATACATTTTGTGCCAGTAAAACTCAGTGACTATATAAAAACTGAATTTTTTAATGTTTTAATCCTGAAACCTGTGATGCTAATTATTTCATAGCAGAAACAGAGCCATATTTTGTTTTAGTACCATGTCACGAATGCTGGATCCTGCAGCAGATGTGCTGAAAATTATTAATAATGTCACTTGGGAGGATTTTAGAAGCTGTGTATTTCTAAGCGTGTTTAGAAACCTTGATGTTAATGGAGCCGTAATCTTGCATAACCGATGGTGATTCAATATTTCAGCATGTTTCATTTTTCAGAGCAGTGTCTCTGGTTTTCTAATTTTCCAGATGCATTATTTGAGCATCTGCATTTCTGTGGTTTTGCATTTACAGTGAGCTGTATGTAGATGTATGTTAATGAATATGCAAATATAGGTCCATGATGATCAGGGCTTCGGCATGCTGCTATCGTGTTTGTGTTTCGATTCTGAATTTGCTGGAGTGTGGGGATGATTTAATGATAGAGGCATGAGAGTCTGTCTGGATAACCTCTGTGTTTAATCTGTCCACAGCTGATCCACTGTGAGTCCGATAACTGACTAGATTATCACTGACCAGTCAACAGGGGCTGGATGTGTGGAGACGCTGAGCACATTGTGCAATGGTATGTGATCTGTCTGTTCCATTGTCTTTTTCTTATAATGAGAAAGCATGTACAAATACACGAGGTATTTTAATTTCATATATATATATTTTTTTCATTTTGTCCTATTAATTTTCTTTTAAAAGGTCCTACAGTAATTTTCTTGTTTTGTAGATTTGTTCTCATATTTTTATTAATGTTTCTTAATTACAATTTAGTTTTTATTACTTAATACAAACTCATTATTATCAGCAGTTACAGTATTATTATTAAGTATATATACTGTGTGTGTCTATATATATATATATTTTTTTTTTTTATTTATATATATATATATATATATATATATATATACAGTTGAAGTCAGAATTATTAGCCCCCTGAATTATTAGCACCCCTGTTTATTTTTTCCCAAATTTCTGTTTAACGGAGGGAAGATTGTTTCAGCACATTTCTAAGCATAATAGTTTTAAAAACTTATTTCTATTAACTGATTTATTTTATCTTTGCCATGATGACAGTAAATAATATTTTACTTGATATTTTCCAAGACACTTCTACAGCTTAAAGAGACATTTAAAGGCTTCACTAGGTTAATGAGGTGAACTATGCAAGTTAGGGTAATTAGGCAAGTTATTGTATAATGATGCTTTGTTCTAAAGATTATCGAAAAAAAAGTTAGCTTAAAGGGGCTAATAATTTTGTCCCAAAAATAGGTTTTCAAAAATTAAAAAACTGCTTTTATTCTAGCCGAAATAAAACAAATAAGACTTTCACCAGAAGAAAAAAATATTATCAGACATACTGTGAAAATTGCCTTGCTCTGTTAAACATCATTTGGGAAATATTTAAAAGAAAAAAAAAAAATCAAAAGGGGGCTAATAATTCTGACTTTAACTGTATATATATATATATATATATATATATATACAGTACTATGTATTAGACTGGTACAGTACAAGGTATTAGTTGGATATTTTGGGTCTAATTGTTTAAGGCATACAGTATGAAAGACAGGATTAGAAAAAGGAAGAATGAAGAATTGGTTTGATCTGCATTTCTGCCAGAGCTGTTGTCAATATTGCTTGAATTGATGGGATTGTGAATGCTGAAAAGTACAGACAGGTTTTAATTTATCATGTAATTCCTACTAGGAACCACCTAGTTTGTAGTAGTTTGATTTTTCAGCATGATAATGATCCTAGGGCATCACAGTGGCACAGTGGGTAGCACAATCACCTCACAGCAAGACGGTCGCTGCCTGGTTTAAGTCTCAGCTGGGTCAGTTGGCATTTCTGTGTGAAGTGTACTCCCTGTGTTTGTGTGAATTTCCTCTGGGTGCTCCAGTTTCCACCACAAGTCCAAGACATGCGCTATAGGTGAATTGAATTAACTAAATAATTAAATTAAAATGTCTGTATAATGTCTGTAGTGCATGTGTGTGAATGAAAGTCTATGGGTGTTTCCTAGTGATGGGTTGCAGCTGGAAGGGCATCCGCTGCATAAAACATATGCTGAATTTCTGTGTAGAATTTACATATTCTCCCCTAAACCTAACCCTTTACTGGACATAGCTGGTTTTGTCTGGGCTCCTAGCCTAGCTAGGCTGGTCAAGCTGGTTTTAGCTGGTCATCTCCCAGCCTGACCAGCTAAGACCAGGCTGGAAATGGCTGAAAACCAGCCTGAAAATGGCCAAAACCCCTCTATAACCAGCCTGGTCAACCAGCCAACCAGCCTAGGCCGCAGGCAGAGTGCCTTAGTGCCCCAACCAGTGCCGATATACAGCCATATCGCACTGCTACGAGTGTGATATTGTGTTTATACAACAGTTTGATGGCATAATTGTGTATATAAAAACAAAATCAAACATGTACAGTCTCAAAAACCCTTTTGTTTGAGGAACTACTTTCTTCCACGTTGGATTCAAATCATAAGCTGACAGTTAAACAGTTGAGCAAGCATCTTTTAATCAGATTTAATCAGATATATATGGTTAGGGTTACATGTTAGATGAATTTCTTATAAATGTATACTTCAAATGCAGTTTATTGTTTACTTTTTAGGAAATTAACACAAAAGCTTGCTATAAGTAATTCTTTAATTCTTAAATGGAAAGTGTTAGATTAATAGATGTTATAAAAAGTATCAACGAAGAGAATAATCATTGTTAATTTTCTTTTCTTTTTATTGTCTTTTACTTACTACAAATAAAATCACAAATAGAAAAAAAAGCAATTTAATAATCACACTTTTTCATTATTATATTTCACTCCAACATCTGTAAACTCATATAATAAACTCATTGAATAACTTCAATTTCATATCTGACTTATATTTTATTGGTTTAAATTTAGGTTCATTTCAAGAGGTTCATTCAAGAATCTTTACTCTCTGTCCCTTCAGGAAAACAATAAAGCCATTTTAGCATGATTATTTGTTATTTTAGCTTATTTTGTTAGCTTGTTATTTTAGTTAAAACACAATGACACGACAAGCTTGCAGACTTGTTCTCTCTTTCCTTAGCTAATAGTTTTATTATCTAACATTAAATTCCTGGATATCTGTGACCTCTCTGTTTCTGCATTACTAGATAGTGAAGTCATTTCTCATCCCAAGCGACCAGTTGGAAAAAAAAAAAACATTCCCACTGGAGAACCCTGAGGTTAAGAGGCTCCCGGCGTGATGGAAAACAGAGGCAGACACTGACAGGACTGTGATATAATTAGCTTTTCTAAGGTCACCACTATTTGTTCTTGAACATTATATCTTAACAGTGCTGGACATCAATCACCAGGCCACTCACTGTATTCAATAGATTTTAATAAAAACAGAGAACATTAGAATTTAATGTTAGCGTATGGACTGTCATGCAGCTATAGACAAAATTGTGACAGTCATTCAGGTTTTATTGTTGTCTTTCAGAAGTGCTGGAATGAAATTTGATAGTAAATTAGTGTGTGTGTTTACTTGCTTGTGATATTTGTGGTTCTATTTGTAGAAAGTAAAAAGACAATAAAAAGAAAGCAATATAATAGCAATGATAATTTTTGCAGTTGATTCTTTTTCTAACATCTAGCAATCTAACACTTTCCATTTAAGAATTAAATTATTACTTTTATTACTTTTGTGTTAATGTCTTAATAAGTAAACATTAAAACGCATTTAAAGTACATTAATAAAGAATTCTGAAATTATTAAAGTATGCAATTACATCTCATAAAAAATATAATTAATTTGACTTGAACTTGAACATTCTCTGTGGTGGCTTTCATAATGACAGATATCCACTGCATAATGCAGAAAAATGTGTCATTATTAAAGCCTCTATGGAGAATTTTTAAAGCATACCTCTGTTTTCCATTACATTTGTAAATTATGCAAAGAGTGCATTCTACCACAACCCCTAAAGCATTTTGTAAAATGCAATGAAATTAAAAATCTGTGATGTGTTAATTATCTTTAACTTGTATTTAACAAGCAAAAAAAAGATTTCTTTGCATTGAGAAAAAAACTTTTTTTCACACACTTTTTATGGCTGCAACACACTCAAGTAAAAGTTAAAGATAATTATAAAATCAAATATTCCTAATTTTATTGCATTTTACAAAACCTCCCAACTTTTTTGTAATTGTGGTTGTATTAGATTAACACTATTTTTTGTTCATTATTCTTCTTTGTAGTTGTTATTGTTGTTAATAAGTTAAATACATTGGTCAAAGACAGGGTAAAATTAGGTGGTGTTTTGATTAAATTAAATTTACAGATGTGATATTATGTCTAGTAAAGTATATCAAATATTTTCAAGGACATACTCCTGTTTTAGCTTAAAAATTTTATAAGAAAATTAAGCACATATTTATCACGATCTCAAATCAAATAGAAACTGGGCCAGAGCTGGCTCACTTCTGGCAAGCGGATGTCGGTGTTGTGGCATAGCCCATGGTACTAATGAGAGTGACTGAGGTGAGTTTCATGAATGGAACCCTTTCCTTACAAAAGATAAATGAATGAATGAATGAATGAATTCATTCATTTAATTTCTTTAAGGTTTAATGTCACTTCTTGTCCTTGCTTTATCCATCAAAATAATTAAAAAAAATACATTTTAATCAATTATGGCCTTTATTTAGTTTTAAATGTACTTAGAATGCTAATGGAGAGGGATGCATTTTGTGCCAGGGGTGCATTTCTCGGCACAACACTTAAGTCACCCGACACATTTGGACCTGCATCTGGCCCGATTCCGCTGGCTTCCTGGGGTATGAATACAAAAGATGCTTTATGGTCTTTTAGTACAGGAATGTTTATGCTATTATGCTAATTATGCAAAAATTAAACAGTATTCAAACTATATAGCCCCAATAGTGAATGTCTGTATACAAAGGGTTTGACCCCAGTATAACAAATTATGAAATAATCGCCTATTAATTTAGGCGCTAAAAATTTTGGAGATGGCCAATCAAATTAAAGTAAGCGGTCCATCTGCACATACATCATTACAGTGCAACAACTCTCCAGGTAAACTAAACATAAATATATCAAAGTTGTTATTGTAATAAGTGCTAAACACTAAACAGATAAAATGAGTTTGGAAAGTACAGTAAACTTTCTGCCTAATTTCACCTAATTTACGCTATGTTCACGTGCTGTTTTGAACTGGAATAATGCAAATACTGTACTAACAGCCAAGGAGATTTTGTCAGTGACTTTAATTGTTATGGTCAGTAGGTTGCAACAAGTCTTTAGGAATATGCATTGAACCAAATATTGAGAGTTATTATATACGAGAGATATTTTAATGTGAAACATCAAATGACTATTGTTCAAAATATACCTGACAAGACTTTTTGATATATATATATATATATATATATATATATATATATATATATATATATAATGCATTTATATGCATTTATGAATGTATTATATCATCTTTATGTCAAATTACAAAATACAAATTACCCCTTGCGAAGTGTTTGTAATGCAGCGTTTATAGGGCATATAGTTTATAGAGTCGGTGACAGGCTGAGAGTAAATTTGACGAAATTCTCTCCTCTGGCTGCAGTCATAAGTCTCGCACTAATTTTTTTTTTTGTTTTTTTGCTTTTTCTTTAAGTCTTGATAACACCATCAAGGAGTTTTTCTTTTATTATTTCAGCAAATAGGATTGTAAAAAAAGATTTGTTGTACTGTTCGACTCACTGCTGTTTGTTTATCCAACTATGATACCTTCTGCTACTGAGAAACCCAGAAATGTGAAAAACATCTATTAATTAATATTTTGTGTCTGCAAAAGGATCCATAAATGGAATATTTTAATATAAAACATCAAATGATTACTGTTCAAAATATAACTGACAAGATTTTTTTGATACATGTAGGCTACTATAATTTCACTGAGTGACATTTGAGTGGATGTCTTCTGAAAATCATGCTAGAAATGTACATTAGAGGAACAGAGTTAAACATTAAACATTGGATTTCTTTTTAATAAAAGAAGTGATTGAATATGAATTGGGAGAAGCAGGTTCAGAACCGTATGGAATATTAATAAGCCATGGACTATATAGAGTCGACTCTTGCCCTGCAGATATGAAGAGAACTAGGAGAACAGACATCAGAAAAGGCCAGCTGTAAGACTGGGAGATTTCTACACCTCAGACTACGCTTCTCATCCACCTTTTGTGCTTTGTACTGTGACAGACAGAACGCTGTCTTTGACTGACAACTGATACCTTCATAAAAATGGGAGAAATTATAAAAAATGTATTAACAAATACGCTAGATATGCAGTGTAGGTTTGATGAACATGTTTTGATGGAGCATCAGAGCACAAACACACATGCACTGATTCTTCATGCACACAAAGCCCCTCAGGTAAAGAGAAGTGGCGGTAATTAAGTTGTTCAGGCAGTGAGCTGTAAAAGAAGGAAAAGTTCTCGTTTCTCTTTTCATCTCAATATGAATGGCAAGTCCTATTGACACAATCCCACAATCCTGCTGCCCTCTAGTGCTAAACCTCTGTGATTATTTTCCTCTGCTCCTCTTGTCCACTGATGGATGTCACAAAATGTTTATTCGCTGCTTCCATTTCTGTGCACGGTTTTCATTTCTCAGTGTGGCTCCACTCTCAGTCTTGTTGAACGAAGTAACGTGCCTACTGTGATGATTATGCTCTCTGTTAAGCCTCTGTTAAGTTCATGTTCTGTGTGAATGAGATATTCGAAGTGTATTAATTATTTGGTGCTGTTATATCGTAGATTTCCCCAGTTACAGAATCCCACTTGATTGTTAAATTAATCACACTGCTTTTCTTTTTTGATTTGTCATTCACAGAATTCTCCGGTTACACATCTCTATTGTCAGAGGCTGTGCTTTTATCTGTCATCTCGATCAGGTAAGTGGACACTTTTATGTATCTCAAAGTACATCATGTATGTCATCTGGGGTTAACAATTGTCATCCAAAACAGTTTCTAAAAGAGCACTGATATACAAAAAAAAAAGGTGTTTTTCCTTTGCAAAGTTGCACAAAACATTTTCAAAGTTATCTGTTCACCTGGATCATTAACAAAGAATAAAAATTATTCATCGTATTATTCACTGTATTGTTCATGTCAGACCAGTACTTGGTGATATCACTTGTTGCAAAACACTATTGGCCCTATAGTTTGATGTGTTTTGGAGCATATCAACTTTAATTTTGAACAAAATGGCAAATTTTTAGACCTAGGGAATCGCTATCTTGGAATATCGATGTGTCTGACGTCACAGGGTTGGTTCTGTACCCTCAGCTGAACATTCAGTGGAAGTAATGGACTGAACACAGAGGCTGGACAGCCTAATTTAACCCAATGCATGAATTTGTGAGTTTGTAACTGGTGCAAATACCAGCTATATATAGTTGAAGTCAGAATTATTAGCCCCCTTAGAATTTTTTTACTTTTTTAAAAAATTCATTTTTAATGAATTAAAAAAAAAAAAATTACATCATTTCCCAAATGACGTTCAACAGAGCAAAGAAACTTTCACAGTATGTCTGATAATATTTTTTCTTATGGAGAAAGTCTTATTTTTTTATTTCGGCTAGAATAAAAGCAGTTTTAAATTTTTTAAACACCATTTTAAGGTCAAAATTATTAGCCCCCTTTAAGCTAATTTCTTTTTCGATTATCTACAGAAAAAAACATCATTATACAATAACTTGCCTAATTACCCTAACTTGCCTAGTAAACCTAATTTACCTAGTTAAGCCTTTAGATATCACTTTAAGCTGTATAGAGGTGTCTTGAAAATATCTAGTCAAATGTTATGTACTGTCATCATGGCAAAGATAAAATAAATCATTTATTAGAAATGAGTTATTAAAACTATTACGTTTAGAAATGTGTTGAAAAAATCTTCTCTCTGTTGAACAGAAATTGGGGAAAAAATTAAATGGGGGCTAATAATTCTGACCTTAACTGTATATAATATATATATAAATATATATTTATTCTACTTTTCTTTTTTCCCCCTTTAAATTACAGATCATTTGATGCACTTTGGTCTACTCTCTGTACGCTGCCTGACTGTCTGTCTGGATTTCAACCATGGTTTAAACAAGGTTCAGCGCTGACGTAATGGGGGCAGGTCACTTTTCACTACTACAACTGTTCACATCTGTTCATGTTCAAATCAAAGTAAGTTTTTCAAAACACAGGTTTTTATGTCCTTCATACATGTTGAGAGATCGAATTGATCGACTTTATAAGGGAATAAGTCTGGACATAATCAACAAAGACCGACTTAGTAAAACATGAAGTCATGTGCTTTATTCGTTGCATTAGTCTGAATGTAAATCCGGTCGTCAGGCAAGTGCTGCCCCGCAGTGTGAGAGAGTAGACCAAATTGCTTCAAACAAAAGGTATTAAAAAAAAGAAAAATAGAAAACGTATGAATATTTTATATATACAAACATATTAGACACAACGTCCACAACTTCACCCATTGGATTAAATTAGGCTGTGCAATCTCTGTGTTCAGTCCATTACTTCCACTGTATCTGTTTAGCTGAGGAAACAGAACCAACCTCGTGACGTCAGAAAAAGCATCATTCTATGATGGCGGTACCCTTGCCCTAAAACCTATAGTAAAACATGCTGTTTTCTTCTAAATGGTTACTTTAGTCGAGTTTGTTTATTTTTTTCATTATAGTGAAAACCAATGTATTGAATAATGTAAACTTGACTGAGTGCTTCACTTCAACTTTAACAGTAGATTACATGGAGAAGAAAATGATAATGTTTCCAAAAATGATGTACTAAAATGACTACAGTAAATAAAAATAGACAGATGTGAACATTAACTCAAACTATTCTACAACCATTCATTCTAAAAATAAAGGATTCTTTACTAGATTGGCATTTATGGTTAAACAAATAACATTAAAAGGACTCTGATCATGCAAAAACAACTTTTGGAAGCTGTTTGTACAAAACTGTGTGTAGGTACAGCATTAGCATGTCCATATATTGGAGTGATATAAACACTTTAAAAAAAAACATAAAAACGCTTTAAATATTTTTAAAAATTCACAATGTTGATATAGGAACAAAATCCCAGTGATTTTAAGTCCCACTGGAACATGACTTGGCAGTGCAATTTTTCCCACCCATCGAAATTGATTGACAGGGAAGTATTAACTAGTCTCCATAGTAACGCGTATAATCATGTTCACAAGACAGTATTTGCAAAGAAACATTGCAAGTTTTTACAAGTTTAAAATGTTTTTAAACAGTGCATGTTTGTATTAAGGAAAAAACTGTAAATTGTTATGCAATTCATAACCACTGAGATCACCACAGCTGCATAGTGTCAGCAAATCTCTAAACAACGATGCTTCAATCACATAACAGGAGTCCGGGTTTGTGGACATCAAATCAGGTTTGTTTTGTACAATAGCATAACAGATATCCATACAGCAGTGGATATTAACTTGCATTTGTGTTATTCATTCATCGTTGCAGAAAGCTTGAATAAATTCCACAAGAAATACATAAAATAAATTTTGAGAAACTGTGTCTCTACTTCATTTGTTTCTGTCTGTCTATCTGTCTGTCTGTCTGTCACTGTGCTGTTTATCTGATATGACGCAGGAGAAGGAGATGCGCATGTCGGAACGGTGGGCAGGAAGAAATAACTTATTTGCATTTAAAGGTACAGTCTAACAGGTTACATCAAACAGGCTACTGGTTTTCAGTATCTGCTGTCTGAATATATAAGGACATTTAACTTGAATTTACACATCTACTGGAAACTGAAAACTTGAGAGGGTCACTTCACAAGCTTTTTGCTAAATCCTTTTTCCCATAAAAAATACTGTCAACTATTCACTCCAATCTTCACTTCAACATAGCAAGAGGAAAGTTTAGTTTGAAGGTGCAGTAGGTGATCTGCCAAAATGCTAGTCGGTTAGCATATTAGCTTTGGACGGCAGAGGAGGGACTGTGTTTCAAAGCTACGCCTCCTAATATCGCGAACGCGCCCACCGCGACGCGAGTCACACGACAGCTGACAACCCATTAGTTCATGTCATTCGCCAGAAGTGTATGTAGTGGTTGGCCCTGGGGCGTGCAATTTCACTTATTACTAAGCCACACTTAACATGCTATTTCAGAGTGAATATTTAGAGTAGCATGATAAACAATATAGGTAGCGCGTCACAGGCTGTCATTGTTCAGAAATGAACCAATGTAAATATATAAGCAACTTCAGCTCAATAAAGCAGGTTAGGTGGAGTAGCGCTATTTGTTGATGTTTTGTTGTTAAACTAAATATAAATCTACATTATGGACGCGGTAAAAGGACCTTATAAAACTGAAAATACTCACATCAATCTTTCACAGGGAGATTTCAGTGGCTGAACAACACATCTCTGCATAACCCATTTGTAACAACAACATCTGCTTTGCGTGAAGTTAAAAGAGTTTTAAAACAGAACATTACCTGTCTAACAGAAATACTTCAGCCATGGTGTCGTCCTTCCTCCAGCGTGCAAAAGTAACTCCAGTATTGATTCAGGATTTTAAAAAATTTAATTTTAATTCAGCATTTAATTTTGCCGCGACCGTGACAGTCTCGAGTGCATGTGTCGTGATTGCGCGACTCTCATCTAGTCGTGCACGCGCGGCGCTCATGGCAGATATGCGTGAACGGAGATGTGCAAAAGCCCAAATCTGCTTTTGTTGATAGGCAGTTTGAGCTACTTATCGGAATTATGGAAGATGTCGGCCCGACAAAATTTAATTGGATGAACATTTTTTGTTTTATGCCTTACCCAGAATATAAAAATACATATAAACACAATTAGATCATTTACTGTAACTTTAACAATATTATTATTATTATTATTATTATTATTCATTCATTTTCGGCTTAGTCCTTTTATTAATCTGGGGTCGCCACAGCAGAATGAACCGCCAACCCATCCAGCACGTTTTACGCTGCGGATAGATCCAGCACGTTTCTAGCTGCAGCCAATCACTGGGAAACACACATACACTCTCAACCTCACACACACTACGTTAAATTTAGCTTACCTAATTCACCTATACCACATGTCTTTGGACTTGTTTGGGGAAACCGGAGCAACCGAGGAAACCCACGCGAACACAGGGAGAAAATGCAAACTCAACACAGAAATTGCAACAGACCCAGCAAAGGCTCGAACCAGTGACCTCACTGTGAGGTGATTATGCCACACACTGCGCCACCACGTCACCCATTATTATTATTATTATTGTTATTATTGTTATTATTATTATTATTATTATCCAACAATATCAATATTTTAAAAAATAGATATATTAAAAACATAAAATATATTAAATAAATCAAAAAACAAATAATAAAATGTTTTTTTATTTTTATTTAATGTTATTAAATTGAACAATTTTGATCAGTTCATTTGATTAGAAACCATTTATGATGATACATTTGTAAAACAAAAATATTTGTAAAAGTACATTGGAAACTGCAGATTTTAGCAACCCTAACCTTAATTGTGATCAAACAAGCATTTTTTTTTCCTTTACAATGTCTGACAAATATCAATGCCAAATAAATATCATAAAAATTCCATATTGTATGAATATATAACCACCTAGTGTAAAATCAAGAGTCCATATATAGAGAGAGAGAGAGAGAATATGTACAGTATCCCCAGCTCTCATTATCACAAACAGCCTATAAAGCTGCAGTAATCCTTGTGTTTTTATTTCAAGATAAAGGTTTTAATTAACCATGCTGGATTTTCAGAGGTTGTGTCAAGGGCGTTTACAGTGTGACATACAAAACAGATCTCTCCGTATTTCTTTCTCCAACACAAAAGCGCTCCCTGAAGGGATGACATTTCAAACGCCCGTGTGTTTGTCTGCCTCTTGTTTGTGGTTCTCAGATACGTAATGGAGATTAAAAGAGCCGTGTTTTGTTTGCGCTCGACTGTATATGCGTGTGCTTGCGGGCGTTTGCATGAGCGCGTGATGCCGTGCTGTGGGTGGAATATTTACCTCCTTCCCCACAGGTGAGAAGTTCACTATAAATCACTCCGCTTTCTGATTGGTTTGAGCGACTTCTACAAAACACAATCTGACCTCAATAATGGCGCAGGCCCAATGCTTATAAACAAAACTAATGGAGTATTGAACTTTGATACAGCGCCGGCCAGGTCTAATCTAACATACAGTCACAGGGCATTAACAGACGGGGTCGGTTAAGCCCAGTCAGCCCTGCTGAAGAGAATGTATTCGCGCAGAGGCTCTGTCTCATCAAAAGCTATCAGCATAAAATCAGTTCCCTCTCCACAGCTCTGCGAACACACTGTAAATCTACAATGAATAAAACATCAGACATGCCAACGAACACCCTGATCAATGAGGGTGGGGGGGCTGAGGTCCTGTGTGTGTGTGTGTGTATGTGTGTTTGTGTGTGTGTGTGTGTGTGTGTGTGTGTGTGTGTGTGTGTGTGTGTGTGTGTGTGTGTGTGTGTGCGCGCAACAGATAATGAGTTCTAGATAAAAGTGTGTGAGGACATGTCATTTGGTCCAGTGTGTTTACGAGACTAATTTTGTCTCTCTCTGTCACACACACACACACACTGAGAGATATCACAGGATGCTGGAGATAAACAGCCCTCTCACAGACACACACACACACAGTTTTGGGACTGCCTGGAGAGGTGGATAAAAGGAGAGGAGTGTGATATCAAATAAGAGAATGTGGCTTTGATAAACGAATGAATGTCTTTTTTTCTCAACAGTGTTTTCAGACTGAGGGACAGTTCAGGGAAAATCAGGTAGAAAGGCCAAGGGTGTGTGTGTGTGTGAGAGAGAGAGAGAGAGAGAGAGAGAGAGAGAAAGACAGACATAGTTTGTGAAATAGTCTGTGAAAGGCTTTCATCTTTAAAACAAACTGACAAATGTTTGGCTGCCTGAACGATTGGTTCTGTTGGCTCAAATGCTTTGTACTTTGTTTGCATTCAAACTGGATCATCTCATGATATTGCATATACAGCAGAGCACATCATGATTTTGCCAAGTATGATGCGATCTTAACATCTATGTTGATCCTGGAACATTATTTTTGTTCGAAAGTGTAATTCATATCTATTCCCTACCACTAAACCCAAACATTACTGTAAACTATTCCCAATATCAGAGGTAAATAATAGTTGGATAATAGTTATGTAGAAGTGTGTTTTCCTAACCGTTAGCCTGAACTTAAAATAAACAATGAACATATCTTTAAATTCTAATTGGCTGATGTTAATCCAGGAACATGTCCTGCTTGGTGAAATCAGGGTAGGGTACAGGCGATGGGGTGAATGCAACTGTTTAATTAGTCTGCCGTACAAAATTATTAGACTGTTGGTAGATAGATAGATAGACAGACAGACAGACAGACAGACAGACAGACAGACAGACAGACAGACAGACAAATGGATGGATGGATGGAACATAGCTCTATAAACATTGCTGGAAATCGCAAATTATTTAGCCAGAGGAACGTACGGCTGCATTTTGTCTTTACAATAAATGCTATAGGTATAATGCCTTTACCAGCCAAACGCTTACCTCTATATGGACGGCTCTTCCACTGTTAGATTGTCCAGTGGTTCGTTGTGTACGTCAGAGGATTTGAGACACTGAGCAGAGTTGACCATGATGAAAGGATTTAAGTCTGGCGAAGAACAGATCCAGAGAGTAGATAAGACAAAAAAGTAAAAAAATAAAATAAACAAATAAATAACAGGGTTAGAATGTGGTAAAATCTGACAACGTGGTGAAAATCAGGCTGCCAAGAGGGCTGTTCTTTTTCTGTATTGCCTTTGAAAACACTGTCGGTTGGGTTTAAGGAAATGGGTGGGCGCTGTTCAATCAGTGCTTTTTAAAACACTATCAGTTGGTTTTAAGGAAGAAGTAGGGTGAAAGTATCAGTCAGTGAGTCAGTCGACAGCGTCCTCTGATGGATTTGCATGAGAAGAGAAGGCGCGAATGGCACTCGCGAGAAAAATTTTAGATCTGAAAAAACATACACAGCAGCCTCTGGTGGATTCGCAAAAACAAAAACTGCAAAAAACGGAAGACGTAGGACGTCCTGGAACGTATTTGTTGCTCTCCAGAAATGTATATAGGGGTGGGTAATCAGAATGAGCCTGGGTTAATATTGTGATTATGAACGCACAATATTTGTATGGGCACTTCAAAATACCATAAATAATTATTTATTATTTAAATATTCAAGGCTGATCTATATCTGCGTCAGGCACACACTTATAATCCGGCGCAGCCTTCAATCCCTGGCCATGGCTGTCACCAACGCTGACGCACATCTCTCGAAAAATGTAATGTAACAACACGTCACAACATCATGTGCAAGCTCTGTGATTGGTCAGCTTGGTAGCACTGACGAGTGTGGAAGGGGGTGAGAGCCATAAAAATAGATAGAGATGGATGTATGGAGAGAGAGGATGATAGATTGTTATACAGACAGATGGATAAATGACAACCACTTTCAGTGCTGTATTGAGTGGAGTTTTCTGCCAAATATTCAGTTGACTGATTGCTCAAACTCTTTGTAGTCTGTGTACGTACAAAACGTCTCATCACACAAGATTGCATAGGTGATGAAAATTTAATTATTCCCATTAATCTGCCATTCATCAACAATAATCACTTAATCCCGATGATTTGAATTCAAATTTTTCTAACTGGATTATCTAATTGTGCCCAAACATTCTAAATAATTTAATTCATGAATACTGAGCCAATGAGGAGTCATCCAGGCTGCATTAATGAGTTCTAAATACTGAGCATTCCAGCAGACTCCAAAACACTGTACACAGAGCCAAGAACTCCCGGCTCAACTGACCTGAGAGCTGTTCTAGATTCAGACGCAATCAATAAACATGTTCTTTTACTTTTTATCTGTCATCTGATTCCAAAGGTGTTATTCAAAGAGTAATGGAAAAAGCAAATGTTGCGTTAAATAGGCCAATATTGACAATACATTTATAGCCTACATTTGATAAGCCCGGATTCTCTACAGCATATGCCGATTAATAACTGATGCAGTAAATTGTGATAAAAACCATTCAGAGTGTGAATCCTTAAGGAGTGAAGTTCTTATCGCAA